GAGGAAGGGGGAGAGAGTTGTTAACTATGAGGAGACAAAGAGACACTGACAGGAAATATCAGGGTGGAGGAGGAGGGAAGGGGAGGAGGGGAGGGGGAGAAGGAGAGGGGGAGGGATGGAAGGAAGGGAGAGGAGAGGAGAAGAAGAAGAAGAAGAAGAAGAAAAGAAGAAGGAGGAGGTCAATTGAAAGGCCTTTAGTCTTCACCTGTCTCCTCGTTACCTGTTGGGGAGGGAAACACACACACACACACACACGCACACACACACACGCACACGCACGCACGCACACACGCACACACACACACACACACACAGTGACTCATATAAAAGTGCAATTAGGGTACATACGCAGGTGTCGAGATCATTTTACCTGTGTCTCTAGATCATTTACCCCTGTGTCTCCAGATCATTTACCTGTGTCTCCAGATCCTTATCTTCCTCCTGTGTCTCGGTCTCGGCTTATACTCGAGACCGCAGTAGGTAGATAGCAGGTAACCTCACCCCATAGGATCTACGCAAATGAAAAATATAAATGAAATTTTTATTTACGTATTTTGAAGGCTTATGATGGTAGTAAAAGTTGTACAATAAATGAATGATTTGGAGATTTTTTTTATTTTAATTGGAGCCACTGATAAATATATAAATAAATAAATAAATAAATAAATATAAATATCTTACTTGCGACAGCTGGATTTCATCGAAGGTCGCTGATTATTAGCGATGACATCATTATTAAGTCCGCCCACTTAGTTACATCAACAGTAGAGGCGGATATTAACAGGTGGAGGCGGAGTGATTTTCTTTTATAATGATTTATTACGCTGTAGCCATACTCAAATTCAACTCAGAAAAGAAGAAAAAGTTTGTATCTTTTTTATTCCCTCGAGACATAAAGTTACGGGCAAAGTGGCGATCTCCAGAGTAGAGTTGACAATTAATAAATTCCTTATGGCCTGCGTGAGGCTACCTGTTATCTGCCTACCTTGCTCCACATTGCTTCACTAGATGTCCAGGTGTTGAGAGGTATTGTGATCTCACCTGTAGGTCATTAAGCCGCCATTACCTGTACCTGGCATGAATTAACCTTAAGTCAAGGTTTTGTGGGTCATGTGTGTGTGTGTGTGTACGTGTAGCCATGGTGTGTCTGTGTGTGTGTGTGTATATGTGCGTGGGTGTGTGTGTGTATGTGTAGCCATGGTGTGTCTGTGTTTGTGTAGCAATGGTGTGTGTGTGTGTGTGTACGTGTAGCCATGGTGTGTCTGTGTGTGTGTGTGTATATGTGCGGGGTGTGTGTGTGTATGTGTAGCCATGATGTGTCTGTGTTTGTAGCAATGGTGTGTGTGTGTGTACGTGTAGCCATGGTGTGTCTGTGTGTGTGTGTATGTGCATGGGTGTGTGTGTATGTGACCAATGTGTCTGTGTGTGTGTCAATGTGTGTGTGTGTGTGTGTGTGTCAGGCTGGAGAATAACATGGTAATACACCAGAGTAGTAGTAGTAGCAGTAGGTAGCCCTGTGGGTACTAGTGTACTATATTTTATACCAAGAATTGTAGCAGTAGGTAGCCCTGGTGGGTACTAGTGTACTATATTTTATACCAAGAATTAGTAGCAATAGGTAGCCCTGGTGGTACTAGTGTACTATATTTTATACCAAGAATTAGTAGCAATAGGTAGCCCTGGTACTAGTGTACTATATTTATACCAAGAATTAGTATAGTAGCCCTGGTGGGTATGAGTGTACTATATTTTATACCAAGAATTAGTAGCAGTAGGTAGCCCTGGTGGGTACTAGTACTATATTTTATACCAAGAATTAGTAACAATAGGTAGCCCTGGTGGGTACTAGTGTACTATATTTTATACCAAGAATTAGTAGCAGTAGGTAGCCCTGGGTACTAGTGTACTATATTTTACCAAGAATTAGTAGCAATAGGTAGCCCTGGTGGGTACTAGTGTACTGTATTTATACCAAGAATTAGTAGCAGTAGGTAGCCCTGGTGGGTACTAGGTACTGTACACAAGAATTAGTAGCAGTAGGTAGCCCTGGTGGGTACTAGTGTACTATATTTTATACCAAGAATTAGTAGCAGTAGGTAGCCCTGGTGGGTACTAGTGTACTATATTTTATACCAAGAATTAGTAGCAATAGGTAGCCCTGGTGGGTACTAGTGTACTATATTTTATACCAAGAATTAGTAGCAGTAGGTAGCCCGTGGGTACTAGTGTACTATATTTTATACCAAGAATTAGTAGCAATAGGTAGCCCTGGTGGGTACTAGTGTACTATATTTTATACCAAGAATTAGTAGCAATAGGTAGCCCTGGTGGGTACTAGTGTACTATATTTTATACCAAGAATTAGTAGCAATAGGTAGCCCTGGTGGGTACTAGTGTACTATATTTTATACCAAGAATTAGTAGCAATAGGTAGCCCTGGTGGGTACTAGTGTACTATATTTTATACCAAGAATTAGTAACAATAGGTAGCCCTGGTGGGTACTAGTGTACTATATTTTATACCAAGAATTAGTAGCAATAGGTAGCCCTGGTGGGTACTAGTGTACTATATTTTATACCAAGAATTAGTAGCAATAGTAGCCCTGGTGGGTACTAGTGGCATTATATTTTAGAGTACCAAGAATTAGTAGCAATAGGTAGCCCTGGGTGGGTACTAGTGTACTATATTTTATACCAAGAAATTAGTAGCAATAGTAGCCTCAGGGTACTAGTACTATATTTTATACCAAGAATTAGTAACAGTAGGTAGCCTGGTGGGTACTAGTGTACTATATTTTATACCAAGAATTAGTAGCAAATAGGTAGCTCCTGGTGGGTACTAGTGTAATTATATTTTATACCACTAAGAATTAGGTAGCAATAGGTAGCCCTAAAAAGTACTTAGTACTATATTTTTATACCAAGAATTAGTAGCAATAGGTAGCTCTGGTGGGTACTAGTGTGTACTATATTTTATACCAAGAATTAGTAGCAATAGGTAGCCCCTGGTGGGTACTAGTGTACTATATTTTATACCAAGAATTAGTAGCGGGGTTGAATTTGTGGGTACCAGGTAATTATATTTTATACCAAGAATTAGTAATAGGTAGCCCTGGTGGGTACTAGTGTACTATATTTTATACCAAGAATTAGTAGCAATAGGTAGCCCTGGTGGGTACTAGTGTACTATATTTTATACCAAGAATTAGTAGCAATAGGTAGCCCTGGTGGGTACTAGTGTACTATATTTTATACCAAGAATTTCCTACACACAAATATGTATCCGGTGACACACTGCCGTACGATACTCTGGCCATATGTGAACTAACTCACTGTAATGGAAGAAATGGTTTAGTAGAATAGGAAATACAATTGTATATTTAACATCAAGACGTTAATAAAGGAAGAAATTAGAGGAATATTATCAATTTATGTTAACTGATTAGTGGATAAAGTACAGTATTATGCATGTGTTGAAGTCTCCTCCCTGCCCGTACAACCCTGCCAGACGTATATCCCACAATAATATATAAATTTATTACTCTTTAATCATTTCCAATCATCAAAAGCAAAATATAGCGTCTCGATTATATATATTCTAAGCTCTATAAAACAGTTTAGAGCATTATAAAAGAAAAGATATAAAACGGTTTAGGCTCGCTTTAAGAAACTGGTTCTGTGACGTCATATGGATCGCGTGACGTCATCGAGCTTTAGCCCCGCCCACACTTCCTGCCAGGCGACATAATGGCGCCTCGCTACTCAAAAATATCCCGCGTCATCCATTCATATTCTGACCTTAAGCAGCTGTTACTAGTCCTTATCCTCTCTTATGATGATGAATGAAGTTGAGTGCAATATTATATAAAGTTGAGAATGGTGAAAGAAAGCACAGCGGCGTGAGAATAGTCTAAAATAGAAGGTAGTTGACGTGTGATTTGGCGAGACTTATGTTGGCTAATATTCAACTTTTTATTTATTTCTTATTCTTTGTTGTTTTTAATGGTGGTGTTCGGTTTTAATTGTGATGAGATAATTGTTTTATTGTGTTGGTTGTTCTTGCTTGGCCTGACAGCACCACCTCCTACCACCATCTTGGCCTCACAACACCACCTCCTACCACCATCTTGGCCTCACACCACCTCCTACCACCATCTTGGCCTGACAGCACCACCTCCTACCAACGCCCATCTTGGCCCCTCACAACACCTCACCTCCTACCACCATCTTGGCCTCACACCACCTCCTACCACCATCTTGGCCTCACACCACCTCCTACCACCATCTTGGCCTCACAACACCACCTCCTACCACCATCTTGGCCTGACAGCACCACCTCCTACCACCATCTTGGCCCCACAACACCACCTCCTACCACCATCTTGGCCTGACAGCACCACCTCCTACCACCATATTGGCCTGACAGCACCACCTCCTACCACCATCTTGGCCTGACAACACCTCCTACCACCATCTTGCCTGACAGCACCACCTCCTGCTCACCATCTTACCTGACAGCACCACCTCCTACCACCATCTTGCCTGACAGCACCACCTCCTACCACCATCTTTGCCTGGAGCACCACCTCCTACTTCACCATCTTTGCCTGACAGCACCACCTCCTCTACCACCATCTTTTGCCTGACAGTACCACCCTCCTACCACCATCTTGCCTGACAGCACCACCTCCCTACTCACCATCTTTGCCTGATACAGCACCACTCTACCACCATCTTGCCTGACAGCACCACCTCCTACCACCATCTTGGCCTGACAGCACCACCTCTACCACCATCTTGGCCTGACAGCACCACATCCTACCACCATCTTGGCCTGCTGACAGCGCCACCTCCTACCACCATCTTGGCCTGACAGCACCACCTCCTACCACCATCTTGGCCTGACAGCACCACCTCCTACCACCATCTTGGCCTGACAGCACCAGCGCGTACAATAACAACTATCTCTCAGGTAGTCGTCTCACTGAGGGTCTGACGCAGTGTTGCCAGGGCCGCCGGTGGTGCTGGCTGGGTGTATGAGGACCGTACTTGAGTGGGTGTTTATGTTGGTATTACTGACTTAACCGACTAATCTCGTCTGCATTCTTGTTTACATCTTCTTCATCGTGTTTACAGTGGGTGTGTGATGTAGAAAATAATAAGAAATTAATGAAGGGATATTGTGTGGCGAGAGAAAGTTACATCGTACAGTTGGTGAGAATGATATATGACGTCATCAGCTGGAGAATAATTGATATATGACGTCATCAGTTGGAGAATAATTGATCTATGACGTCATCAGTTGAATATTGATCTATGACGTCACCACTCGTAAATAATACAAATATCACTAAAATAAGAAACTCTACAAAATAAACAACAAATCATCGATATTTTTACTAATTCGGTCACAAAAACAGGAATAAATTACGAAAATATGTGAATTAAGCAGAAACTTCCCGAAAACAAGAAAAAAAAGACAAATGAAATCCGTGTTGACCTCTCTGACCTCGGTGGCAAGATGACCTTAAGAATCACGACGGCATTATTGTTGACAGTGACCATATCCCTCTACTATTTCCTTATAGTAGTGGTTGGTGAGTACTATTGAGTCTCTGTGAGTCTGCATGAGTCACAAATGATAATAAATTAGTATATTAAACACTCTTAAGAACATCGACACCATGTTTACACTTAGTCACTCTTAAGAACATCGACACCATGTTTACACTTAGTCTCTTAAATTGAGTGGTGCCAGTTACCTAAATGACCTTTACTGTTACACTAAACTGGTCTGGGTTGAGTTAACAGTTGAATGAACTAGACAGTCACTCTCGCACGCCTCGGCTTAACCGTTTTCTGTGATGGAATGATGAGGGGAGACTAAACTAGTGGTGGGCGTTCGTCTCCTCACCCGTATTAGATTTTATACGTCTCTCTAACTTGAACTTTAGGAGACAACGGGGTCTAGTGTGTGTCAGTGTGTGTGTTAAGGTCAATTGCTGTGTAAAACTGACGGAGAGGGAGAGAGGGGGGGAAGGAGAGAGGGAAGGAGAGAGGGAAGGAGAGAGGGAAGGAGAGAGGGAGGGAGGGGGAGCTATTATATAAACAAGAAAATATAATGTACAGTTTAACTTACAATTTTACTCGTTGTTTTGTACTTCACTTGTTTATTTTATTTACTCCATCTCTCTCTCTCTTCCTTTGTGTTGTATTTTGTTCATTTCTTCATTATTCCCATTTTTATTTGTTATTTTACGTCAAACTCAAGAAAATGATGGAAATAATAAATGATTTTTTCTTTTCAGGTTCCGTTTTTTTTTTTTTGTGAGGAAGTTTAATGTATCATAGACAATAGTGTATAATATAATTTACAGAATTATTAATGAGAAGAATTGTACGTGATAATGATGAACTAAAATATAATGGTTAAGTAATATACACTATGTAGACGATACTGTTCTTATCATAATAGTGAAGAGGTATTACAAAAACTCCTTAACAGATAAGCGAAAATAAGCTAAAAATATGGGATAACAATTAATGCTGTAAATACCAAAGTAATAGTTGTGATGTACGGAACAAATGATGACAATAATAGGTCGGCAAACAAAGCATTTAATAAAGTAAAATACCTAATGAAAAGAAACATTAACTTCTATTAGAGAAAAAGGTCTGACGAAAGGCTCTATATGACAAGGACCGATGTATGGTTCAGACCCGCGGACACTTTCAGCAGACACCAGAGAGAGGTTGGAGGCCTTTGACATGCGGTGTTATAGGTGAATGTTAAGAATACCTTACACTGACAGGAAAATATATGAAGAAGTACTAAGATTAACAAAAACTTCAAGAGAAATACTTGAAATGTATATAAAAAAAGAGATACTTTGGCCATATAACTGGGGACGAGGTGATAATAACAAATATTAATGGGTAGAGTTAAGGGTAGGAAGGACAGGGGAAGGCAGAGACTGGGGTGGATGAATGAAATTAAAAACTGGGTCACCAGAGATACAAAACCTTTAGTTGATTGATAAAAAACACTGTACATGTATGTTTGGTCAGTACCTTGTAAACAACTGGGTGGGACTGTTATATCTTGCCTTATAAAGGGCTTAGCCAACATATTATTCCACAGGTCGCTGGCCTTCGTCGACTCCTTCTCCTGCAGCCTCTACAGACAGTAGGAAGAAAGAGGACGCCTCCCTTGGTCACAACGATAGGCAAAACACGCCTTATGATCCCGCAGATTCACCCAGACTCCTGCAGGAAGGTCAAGACGACCTTCAAGGTATCAACAAAAACATCCTGGTCCTCAGCTCAACGGGCCGTGGAGGCTCCAGTTTCCTTGGTCAGCTCATTACCTCGATGGGGGCCACCTTCTTCATCTCAGAGCCCCTGACGCCCTTCGTGCGTCGTCAGGTTCCCCTCACCAAGGCTATGGCGTTATCAGAATTGAGATCCAACTTCCTGTGTAACATAACTGAGAGTCTTGCCAAGTCAAAGGTTAGATACAGACAGTCTTCTGGGTGCAGCCAACTCCATCCTCTTAAGGCGACAGACACACGAGGCCTCACAGAATGGAGCCAAGTATGTCAAACTAGTGCCGTCAGGGTCGTCAAAACCATCTACTGCCGATTAGAGTGGATTACAGAGCTCCTGAAGGATCCACTCGTGAAGGTGAAGGTGGTGCATCTCGTCCGTGATCCTCGAGCCGTTAGACAGTCTATGAAGGAGGCCAGGTGGCCACCCAGCAAGATGGCCATCTGTCCCGCCATCATGGAGGTGAGGCGAACATTGGCCCATTCTCTTAGGGGTGACAGCCACGAGTAGCTGCCTCCCCCCCACCACCACATCCCCTACCACCCCCACACCTCCCCTACCACCCCCCACACCTCCCCTACCACCACCACGCCCTACCACCCCCACCACCCCACCCCTACCCCACCTCCTCACCTCCTTACCACCCCCACCCTACCACCCCACCATCTCTTACCACCCCCACACCCCTACCCCCCCTCCCTCCACCCACCCCCTACCCCCACACCCCTACCACCCCCCTCCCCTACCACCCTCCCCTCCCTTACCACCCCCACTTCTCCCTACCCCACACCCCCTTACCCCCACCTCTCCCCACCCCCCATTTCCCCTACCCCTCCCTACCACCCCACCTCCCCTACCCCACCCCACACTTCCCTACCACCCCCACACTTCCCCTACCACCCCCACACTTCCCTTAACCACCCCCACACCTCCCTACCACCCCCACATTTCTACCACCCCACACACCCCCAACACCCCATCTCCCCTACCACCCCTAATAATCTTCTATCTATCTGTCTTAACTCAAATTTTATGCCCAATATAATATCTGTTTTTCCAAAGTTTCGCAAACAGACTCACTCTCACCTCTCCTCTCTCGTAATAACAACACTAAACCACTGTTAGCCCCAGAGATCAATCCCTGAGTTTCAGGACCCTGCCACGTGGAGTGCGCCAGTGGTTAGAGGGTCCATTTTTTTTTTTTTTTTTTTTTTTTTTTGTCATATGCGTGGGGGTGGGGTGGGGTCAAGAGAGTAAGGGCCTCTCAGAAGTCAGAGTTGTAACAAATGTGGGGGTGGGGGTCAAGAGAGTAAGGGCCTCTCAGAAGTCAGAGTTGTAACAAATGTGGGTGGAGCTTTTGACCAGGTTAACCAGGTCTCTTACACCTTGGTCCACCTGGTCAGGGAGACCGGTCACAGTGACCTCATCACTTATAACATTTTTGGGGGGCAGAACTATGGTTATTCTACGGGTTAGTGATAGGTACCGTATATTTTGACCCTGTCTGCCAATTATTAGGCCGTGGTGGGCCTTAGGGATGAACACTGTTTGTGACACTGGCGTACTGAGACGCCGCCTTTCCTTTTCATAGGCCATCAAGGACTCTATATGAACCGCGGCATCTTGCACCAGGCCTTTATCTGGCCCTACAACCCGTAGGGGCTGGTCCTTGGACCCCTTCTGAGGGACAGAGACGCGAACCTTATACTTTTCCTGAATCTCTTTTATGGTAGAGCCACCTGGGCCTACCACAACCCCTAACATGTTGTTAGGAGCTTTGATGGTCACTGTCGTGGTCACAGCCTTTTGAACCAGGGCTTTTATGTGATCCGCGGCATCGTGGACGAGGCCTTTATCTAGCCCTACAACCCGTAGGGGCTGGTCCTTGGACCCCTTCTGAGGGACAGAGACGCGCACTTTATACTTTTCCTGAATCTCTTTTATGGTAGAGCCACCTGGGCCTACCACAACCCCTAACATGTTGTTAGGAGCTTTGATGGTGACCTCCTTTGTCTCCTGCACCCACTGGCCCCTCATACGAGCCAGTTGGGGTGTCACTGTTGGACCCTTGGCCTTCTTCTCGGTCATTTTAGTGACGGGCTGGTGCTGGCGTCGTTCACTTTTAATATTCTGCATGATACACTTTTATGACCAAACCAGACCACTGGACTCATGTGGTGTAAACATTATGTCAAGTGTAAGATAATGTAGTAAGAGGTTACCACAGTGAACCTCTTGTAGTGAAACTTTGTTATAGTAATGAACATGTTATTATAGTGAACCTCTTGTAGTGAACCTTTGTTATAGTAATGAACATGTTATTATAGTGAACATGTTGTAGTGAACCTCTTGTAGTGAACACGTTATAGTGAACCTCTTGTAGTGAACCTTTGTTATAGTAATGAACATGTTATTATAGTGAACCTCTTGTAGTGAACCTTTGTTATAGTAATGAACATGTTATTATAGTGAACCTCTTGTAGTGAACCTTTGTTATAGTAATGAACATGTTATTATAGTGAACCTCTTGTAGTGAACCTTTGTTATAGTAATGAACATGTTATTATAGTGAACCTCTTGTAGTGAACCTTTGTTATAGTAATGAACATGTTATTATAGTGAACCTCTTGTAGTGAACCTTTGTTATAGTAATGAACATGTTATTATAGTGAACCTCTTGTAGTGAACCTTTGTTATAGTAATGAACATGTTATTATAGTGAACCTCTTGTAGTGAACCTTTGTTATAGTAATGAACATGTTATTATAGTGAACCTCTTGTAGTGAACCATTGTTATAGTAATGAACATGTTATTATAGTGAACATGTCGTAGTGAACCTTTGTTATGGTAATGAACATGTTATTATAGTGAACATGTTATAGTGAAAATGTTATAGTGAACATGTTGATATAATGAACATTTTATTATAGTGAACATGTTAGAGTTAACATGTTATAGCGAACATGTTGTTATAGTGAATTAATTGTTATAATGAACATGTTATAGTGAACATGTCATAGTGAACATGTTATAGTGAAACTTATAGTGAACATGTTATAGTGAAAATGTTATGGTGAACATGTTATAGTGAACATGGTATAATGAACATATAATGTGAACATGTTGATATAATGAACATGTAATAGGGAACATTTTGTTATAGATAACATGTTATAATGAACGGTGGATGAACACAAAGAACTTAAAGGTTTGTGTGGTAAAGGCACGTCAAGTGAATAACATCATGTAGGTACACTAGCGAGTGTTTACCGTCGACGGGAGACAAGATGAAATAAATGACGAGTTCAAGCGGTGTTTTTAAACCGAATGGCATGCGTCTTACCTGGGATAGACGCACCCCATCAGAAAATGCTGTTTTAGCGCGATCTTTCTCCACTACGAGTAAGCCGTTTTGGCATCTAACGTAATGAAATATCGTGCAGCTCCAAGTCATCTGAAATACCCTGAATGTGTGGCAACGGGTACTGTTAGGTCGATAAGTTTACGGTAATCCACGCAGAAGCGAAACGACTCATCAGGTTTCTTCACTCGACAACAGGTGAAGAGCTAGGTTCAGTCACACCTTGTAACATTTTCTGGCATTCTTCTCTAATCACCTGCCGGGCGCGTTCAGGTAGTCGCCGTTGTCTTGTTTGTACAGGTGCACTTTCTCCAGTAGGGATAGTGTGTTCTATCACAGGTAAGACGCCTATATCACCTTCATGTTGTGAGAACAAGTGAGGGAAGGATCGTAGAACATCCCGAATGTGGAGTCTTTCAGCAGGATTCAAGTGTGTCGGGTTCAAAGATCTTCATATGGTCAACACCTTCACAGGGGCTTCAGAGCGTGGGTTCGTGTTATCAAGGTAAGGAGCACAAGCTTCTACCGCCCAAATTTGAGGTGTTGGCTGTGCCGGTCCTATGACTGACGCAGCGGGTACTGTGGTAGCATGGGCTAATCCGTGCCCTTTTCTCGGGCGGTTCACTACAGTAGAAATGTGATGGGGAATTACAAGAACATTTAACCTCCCATTGTACCCTGACCACACTACGGGCCTCCCTACGGCGGCCATAATAAAAGTTAGTGCTTCAGGGGGACAATGTTTCTCGGCTAGAGCGTGAACAATGTGTACCGGAGACGGGGACGGCTGGAGACACCGACTGGTTACCCGTGACTGTAGAATCTCACGTCCACTTACACATTTCCTTCTGATATTTAGGTCTACGACTCGTAGCCTGGATCATGCATGACAAATTTTACAGGGTACTTTACATTATTTAGACGCAAATAACTTATTTCAGGGAGTGTATTATGGGATAACTCAAAGTTGAAACGTCGTAAGAAATCCATTCCTGTTAAGATGTCTCTAGGAAATACTAGATCATCAACAACTAAAGAGACATGTATGACCAAGGACTTCCCTACAGTTACGTCAAGTGAACACTGTCCGGTGATCGACAATGTTTCGCCGCTAACGGCGGACATCTGCTTATTAGACCCGACAAGCCAACCGGTGGGACTAAGTTTCATGTTTGCACTTTTTTTAATAATCGTGGCCTGGCTACTGGTGTCAATAAATGCGGTTGGGCGGACTCCACATACAGTTGTACGGGAGGTGGAGGGGGAAGCTTTCGGGAAGCGTACTCGGTTTGATCCAACTCCCAGATAATTTGAACTGTCGCAGCACAAGTGCTCATCGTAGCTGACGGGTGCTAACCAGACTGGCCTCCCCGAAATGTACAACGGTACAAGGACGCGTCATAGACCTCTTGTGAAGGTTGGGGAGCAACGTTAACATTGTTTAGTACTGAACGGAGACTTCAGGCGTCTTGATATGTGACGGCGAGCATCAGCGCCAGATATTTTAGTCGAGAATTTTTTCCGGAAGTTGTCTGGAATTGGTCATAGTGACAGACCCTCGTGAAGAGCTCCTCTGTTGGGAGACTACGATAGGCAGCCCACGACATGAGAGGGCGGCGGTCACCCATCCTGCCACCCATCATCCTGCCACTCATCATCCTACCACTCATCATCCTGCCACTCATCATCCTGCCACTCATCATCCTGCCACTCACCATCCTGTCACTCATCATCCTGCCACCCATCATCCTGCCACTCATCGTCCCTACTACTCATCATCTGCCACTCATCATCCTGCGCACTCATCCTTCCCACCTACTCATCATCCTGCCACTTATCATCCTGCCACTCATATCCTGCCACTCACCATCACCTGTCACTCATCATCCTGCCACCCATCATCCTGCCACTCTGTCCATACTACTACACCATCATCCTGCCACTCATCATCCTGCCACTCATCATCCTACCACTCATCATCTGCCACTCATCATCCTGCCACTCATCATCCTGCCACTCATCATCCTACCACTCATCATCCTGCCACTCATCATCCTGTCACTCATCATCCTGTCACTCATCATCCTTATCTACCTCCCTACCTACAAGTTTTATAAAGATAATTCTTCAACATTTCAAGTAATAACTCAGACTCTCGCATGGGATCTACAACGAAGGAGTACACTTCCCTCAGCCTTTCACTTCTTCATCAAAGAGTTCCCTCACCTGATCAAAGAGTTCCCTCACCTGATCAAAGAGTTCCCTCACCTGATCAAAGAGTTCCCTTACCTGATCAAAGAGTTCCCTCACCTGATCAAAGAGTTCCCTCACCTGATCAAAGAGTTCCCTTACCTGATCAAAGAGTTCCCTCACCTGATCAAAGAGTTCCCTCACCTGATCAAAGAGTTCCCTCACCTGATCAAAGAGTTCCCTCACCTAATCAAAGAGATCCCTCACCTGATCAAAGTTCCTCACCTAATCAAGATCCTACTGATCAGAGTTCCCCACCTTCATAAACCTCCTACCTGTAGACTGGATGGGTCCATTAAATGTGAAACACCCACTAACGTAATTGAGATAAATCCGTTATAACGAGGTTTTCACTGTATTAAGTAACCTTCAATGTGTTTTAAGTAAATAGTAAGTAATAAGTCAGTAGTCTTTGTAAGTAATAAGTCAGTAGTCTTTGTAAGTAATAAGTCTATAAGTAATAAGTAAGACAAGAGACAGGTGAAGACGTACACTCTACCCTGCCCCAGGTACGAGGACCTCTGCCAACACCCTTATAAAGTGACCGAACAAATCTTCACCTTCCTCCGAGGCGACACCCACCGCCCCTCTTCAGCCATTACACCAGGTCCCTCTGCTTCTGCACCCATCCCCCGCTGCGTCAGGGAGTTCCTCGACAACCACACACACCTTCGGGAACAGCCAGAGACCTACAACACCTTCAGGGAGACGCGGGTGACGTGGCAGAAGTGGAGGAAGAGGATATTTCAAGATTTCCTGAAGGAGGCGGAGCAGGAGTGTAAGAACGTGTTGAAGAGACTCGGGTACAGGGTGTTTGGTACTCTTGATAAGGCGAGAGATATGACGCTGTCAGTGTGGGATGGTGGGGAGTGATGGTAGGGAGGTAGGGAGGTGAGGAGGTGGGAGGTAGGGAGGTGAGGGAGGTGGGGGATAGGGAGGTGAGGTCAGGAATGAGAGTGGGAGGTGAGGGAGGTGAGGGAGGTGGGGGTGGGGGTGAGGAGGTGAGGGGTGAGGGTGAGGAGGTGGGGGTGGGGGGCGTGAGGGAGGTGGGGAGGTGGGATGGGGAGGTGAGGGGGAGGTGGGGAGAAGGTGAGGGAGGGAAGACAGATGAATGAAGGGAGGTTAGGTATAGAGGTAAGGGAGATAAGGAGGGAGATGTAGGAAGGGGGAGAGTGAGGGAAAAATGTGATGAAGAAATTATATGGTGAAAGAGAAAGTAAGAGTAGACAGAGTTATAAAGAAAAGATAATGAGATAAAACACAAGATAATAAGAAAAACAACCACACACACACACATCATAAGTGTCACCTGATGCCTCGTGTTATGGCCCTCCTCAAAGCTGGCACTTCAAGGTGTAAGCGACGTGTGTGTGTAGAAGGCAAGTTCCCGTTTGTTTACCATGTCCAGGGATCCTTTATATAAGAGGGACCTTTCATCTAAACTCTTAAAGGACCCTTAATGTAAGCTTCTGGGTTTGTTTACCATGTCCAGGGTTTGATTATCTCAACTCTGGACCCATAATACAACCTGGGTTTGTTTACCATGTCCAGGATCCTTTATATAAGAGGGACCTTTCATCTAAACTCTTAAAGGACCCTTAATGTAAGCTTCTGGGTTTGTTTACCATGTCCAGGGATCCTTTATATAAGAGGGACCTTTCATCTAAACTCTTAAAGGACCCTTAATGTAAGCTGCTGGGTTTGTTTACACGTGAGAGACTCTGAATATAAACTGACATCGTCAAAACATGTACAAAATTAATTGTTTGCTTAGGAAGTTTACTCAGAGACAATACCTAAAGGTAAACACGAAGGTAGATATACAGTACAGGTTAATGAGGAAATTACAGGTACAGTAATTTTTATACGGGGTTTACAGCCATACCTGTAACACACCTCCCATAGCATACCTGTATTGTCTTAATTAGTGATTGGATTCTGTGATCGAAATAATTGTTACTTTTATAATGTCATTTATTCTCATTGTAGTTTATTTTTGTTATTCAATATATTCTATTTTGTATTAATTGATTGTATTTCTTATTTATGAATAGAAATATTAATTAAAATATTTTTTTTGTCTTCCTGGTGTCTGTTGAGGCTGCTACCCATGTGGCCTGTTAGTTACCCATTAACAATAACTACCATTTAGCACCTCAACTACCCACATCTAATCACACTATGTACAGTGAAACCTCCAAATAACGGACTATCATCTCCATAGTCCGTTAAATAAAGAGGTTACACTGTACTAAACTTCTGAATCAGTTTCTCAGCATTACAATAAAATACAGGTGAGGACTACAGGCATAAATATTTATTAACACAACACAAGACACAACAGGTGAGTAACTCTACAAATTTTTCATAATAAACAAACTGAAAGATATAACTAAAATATACATTAATATAAATCTTTGGGCTTTAATATACTAGATTATTAGAGACACAATATTGACCTAAACTATTATTGCGAACCTTCAATATTTCATAACCATGTGTATGAGAATTAGTATACAGTACAAAAAGTGTGTGTGGAAACTGGAAGGACTTACGGAGTTATTTATTGATTTAGTTTAACCCTTTGAGCCCTGGATGGTTTAATCAACGTCATTATGGGGTTAAGTCATCGTCCTGAAGGGGTTAAGTCATCGTCCTGAAGGGGTTAAGTCATCGTCATCAAGGGGTTAAGTCATCGTCATCAAGGGGTTAAGTCATCGTCATCAAGGGGTTAAGTCATCGTCCTCAAGGGGTTAAGTCATCGTCCTCAAGGGGTTAAGTCATCGTCATCAAGGGGTTAAGTCATCGTCATCAAAGGGTTAAACTTGAAGACACATAAATGAGAATTAAAAAAAAAAAAAACCAGATCACAAATTAGTTTTTAAGACTACGTACGGTGACGCCCACAACACCTGTGCTGGGAGGTGTTGGTCTCTTAACTCATGGCTGTGTTGGGTAGTGCGACACCCGACTGGCTGGCTGAAGTGGACGCAGTGTGATTCTGACAGCATAGGAAGTCGTGGTAATCAACATGTGTAGATAAGTGATGTTGTCCAAGAAACAGTTAAAGGCACAAAATGTTTAATAAAGCACAAAATGTTTAATAAAGTTCAAACACAAGAACTTTGAGGTTAAAGTTACTTGGGTTGACTTTGGGATGAATGAGGCACTTTGGTGTCAGGTATTGTGATTATTACGTCACCAAGGACGGCAGTAACGGAGGGGCCTGCTGTCAGTTCACCGTCTGTGTTTCATCATCTTAAATACTAAAACAGTGTCAACTACGTGTTATATATTAAGCCAAAACTTGGGTTAAAGTTGGTCTTTTTGTTTTCACAGGTGGAGGTCACCTGTGGGTCACAGTCACTTTGGCCAAAGTCTCTTATAGTAGTCACAGCAGAGCCTCAGACTGCCTGCTGTTGACAACACTCGTGCAGGTACAGGGTGATGGAGTACTTCAATTACCACTACACTTGTCTGCGTTACCTTCCTTAATAAGGTGACGCGCAAACTCTGCCACGTGTTCCACGCCCCGTGATGACGCCACGTGCAGGTTATGTGCCGTCACGCGCGGGTTGATGAGAGCATTATGAAGCTCAGCCGCACCTGAGGAACAGGCGGCCGCCGGGTCCCCTGAAGCAGACAACATTCCCTTCCAAAATTCATTGCCAGGCATAGCATTACCGTCCCAGGCGAAGGTGGCGACGAGAAGAGTGCCAGAGGGGACGGGCGCCTGCATGTCCCGCTCGGAGAAGTGCACGGTGACGCTGGTGCCGGGCATCACCTCTCCGTCACTCGTCCCGCCACACGACTCAACCTTTATCCAGCTGAAGTCAATGTGGGCGATGTGCGAGGTGTCGACGGCGGTCAGCGCAGCGGCCCAAGCGTCCACATACAGCTGGTGCTGCTGGGGGGTGACCAACCAGCACCCTAGGCCCAGCCCCACCACATGCACATACGCCTTCAACCCTGAGGCCGCCGCCCGCACCCCAGCCTCTACCAGCAGCGTCTCCGCCGACAGCTGGATTCGGGCCTTATACACCTGGGTGTTGAAGAGCATCCTGGACGACAGGGAGATGAAGCTTCCGTCGGGAGCCTTCTGTGCCTGTTCCCAGGTTGGGAGAGGCGCCGCCCCCCACAGCCGCCCCCACTCCCGCACCAACCACCGCTTCAGAGGAGGATCATCACCAAAGCCGCGGTCACGAGTGTTCTGGTCGGGCGATACAATACAGTCTTGCCATTCCATGACGCCCTCACGCTCAAACCTGGTGCCCACCATGCCCACGATGACGCCCTCTGACTGGTAAGTGCCCGAAGCACCAGGTACCCCGCGGTTGTGGCGGCCCCCGGGATTGACGAAGCATGACTCGCTCGACACACACACCAGGGCTGACAGCTTGATCTCGTCGTAGCTCATGTACTCCTGCAGACAGAGAGACGGCCGCTCGTGAGAATGACCGATCTCCTCGAACCCGTTGCAGCCGTCAGTACCGTCACGCAGGACGAAGGTGTCGTTGGGGTTGAAGAAGACGACGGGGCGCTTCTTGAGGAGGCGGTTTACCAGCCCCAGTAGGGTGAGGGATGAGTAGAGCTCCCTGAGGAACAAACAAACCTTCAGTGGAAGCCATCTCTCTCTCTCTCTCTCTCTCTCTCATACTGTACCATAATACAAACATAATACAACAAAACACCCACTTCTCCTTCCGCCTGCCGTAGATTCGCTTGTAGTGGAGGAAGGCCGCCAGCAGAGGTAAGACCCTGGCGTGGACGAGAGGGTAGGCTGAGTTGACCTGCTCCTCCAACTTGGCCCGTTCCTGTACGCCTTTCTGTGGCGGAGGTGAGGTACAGGTAATGGAGTGAATGATAACTATGACAATACTACTACTATCACAATTACTACTACCACTATTGCTACCACTACTACTCCTACCACTACTACTCCTACCACTACTACTCCTACCACCACTACAGGAACCCCTCCACCACCCCCACCTTCAACAGAGTCTTGAGTCTGGCAGAGTGAACGGGGAAGGCCACAGGGAACTGGTCACTCAGCGCCATCACCTCCTCCAGCGCCACCTTCGGGAGTCGCTCTACCTCCGCCAGCTGGGGCAGGTGTTCCTTGAGGAGCTCCTCCATGGACAACACCTGTTCAGCCTTCCCCTTATCGGTAATACCGCTGCTCATCCTCACACACCTGTTGGTCACACACCTGTTGGGATGAAGAGGTGGGTGATACCTGATACCTCTGTGGGTTATATTTGGTTTATTATCCTGACGGTAGTTTGCCGCCAGGCGTTGGACAATATAACAATACACCTAGCTGCATTATCTATATAAATGCTATAGTATACACCTATATACATGCTCTACTGTATACTAACATTGTCTATATACAGTCGGAGTCAATATAAACTTATATAACGATTTTACTAGATAAATAACAATCTATATATAGTACAAATGGTGATGATTCGGCTGATAAAGAGAATAATGACTGATATAAACAAAAATATATGGGAACATGTGACCGATCGCCCAAGCGGCTAACGAGCCGATCAGTGATTAAGAGGATAAAAGAAAAACTGTGGCAAGACAATGACAAGAGCCTACGTTCGGGGGTCTCCGTTTTCTGTGAGCTGTGAGGCGGTCGACAAGGAGAAAACAGAACAAATCGATTTATATTTATCGTTAGGCTTTTTGTTTCAGAGTTTAGGTCATATATGAGAGTATGAGTTTATATTTTATGTTTCAGTTCAGCTTTAATGATAGGTTAAACTCCAGGATTATTAATATTAAAGTTAATAATGAACCAAGTTTGCTGGCGTCATCTCGTTGAGCTTTCACTCAAATGTTATGAATTTCTTCTGACTCGATATTCATGAAAAAGTCTAATAATATCATATTCACAGACACATTTCTGGGGGAATATTGTACAGCGTTGGTTTAAGGGCTAACTTTTTCGGAGTGAGAGTTGTGAACTCTTGGAACAATCTGACTGAGAGTGTGGTGACGGCACCGAGTGTGAGCTCTTTCAAGACCAGACTTGACCAACACTGGAGCAGGTTCAGGTACATTCAGGAGCCAGTTCATGCCCAGTACTTGCCAACAGTGTGTAACAGAGACGTGACCGATCACCTAAGCGGCTAACGAGCCGATCAGTTGCGTGGGGGACAAAAGTAAAAAGTAAAAGTAAAAACTTTCAATTTGTATCTATCGTTGCTGAAAGTCAAGCGTGTGGTAGCCATGGAGACTTAAGTTTCTTAAATTTTGACTTTCTTTAATTTTATTTTCGAGTGTTTTAAAAAAATCACCGAGTATATGTTTGTGTTTCTATGGACGTGGAACAAGTTACTGTTATTTAGAAATTTACATAATACGTCAAAAGTCTGTCCTTCCTTCACTATATTTTCCACATCTATAGGTTTGATAATTACACAAACTGGACACCACATATAACTTGAGGAACGATGGCGATGGTACATAATAATTGATATAAAGAAACGAAATATAGAGAAATTATAATATACAATAGTTATCCAAGAAAGAATGCAAAAATTTCAGACCTGCTTATCTCATCATAGAAAACGATTACTAAGGCATTTTTCCTCCTGCCGCTCGACAAGCAATCCAAAGTGATTTACGTAAGGCTGTTGTAATCAGTATCTCAACTCTTTAAATACTGTCATCGTGTTTATACTACCAATGAAACTTTCGTGGATATCTTACTTCTAGCTGGGGGACGAGGAAGGTAAGTGTAGTGTCTTCCTTGGCGGTGCAGTGGCAAGTAATGATTCAACTCTTGACTCATACAGAAGGTGACACATCCCACACACACTACAACATATCACGTGACGAAAGATCGATATTATCCCTGGGTAGTTCTTTTAACTTTATACGTACATATAAAGAACTGTTTTTCGAATAATATCTTTCATTATTTAACGCTGCCATTATACATCCGACCGCTACCTGAGTGGTGTTGGTATTACTGTAATCCGTAGAGGAGATTATAAAAAAAAAAATACATTGGAAACAAGTGTACAACGAGGATAGCCCAAATTGGTCAGTATGTATCTACTGAGATTAATATTTCACCTAAAGACTAACCACCCTAACACTGTTTTTGAGGATAAGGTTAAGTTAACGTCAGGAAATTCGTCAGATGATCCCATATATAGTATAATATGACGCAAAAAAATTTATATAGGTACATACATTCACATAAACATACAAGCAATCACACATATTAATACTATTCAAAAAGTTTACACACACACACACACACACATGGTGCAATACAGGGTAACTTGTCAACACTAGACTAATTTCGCCACGACTCTCCAGCTCGGATACTCTCGCCTTAACCTAGCCAGCCATCCTCCCCTCCCATTGTAACTTGCACCATCTCGTGTTATCTAGTCTACACCCATGCCGAGGTCTGCTGGGCTCGCTGTGTCACCCAATCCTTTCGTCAGTTCCCTACGACCTTAGAGTGAAGAATATCATCTCATCTCAATTATTTAACTGATTGATACAGTATTTATCCGGAGGTGTATTGGCAACTGTTGAAGGTAAGTTGCCAGTTGTATTTTTGTCGTGGTTTTACAGAATCTGGCTTCAATAACACCTACCACTGGGGCTGGTTCGCGTGTTTTAAGGGTCCCAGCCAGTGAATGAACGTTCTTTTCACCTTCATACCGTGTTCACTGACTTCCTCCATCCCCCTCCAAAGCTCGCAGTCGCCTTTCTCTTTTAATAAAACCCAAAGTTGTATTATCACAGATGATGTGAGGGGAGTAGGGCAATAGTAGATGAGAAAGAGGTAAGAGAGATGAAGGAAAGGCCAAATGTGAAAGAAAGATGACTAAACATAACCTCTTCATTTTAAACTTCTTCAGTAACGCCTTCAGGAGCACCATGGCCGCCGCTGGGGTTCTCGAAGAAGCATGGGATGAAAAATTGGTGAAAGATTACCTCCAGAAAGCCGCCAAAGTGACACCTCCTCCTAGGGTCGACCACAAGCAGTTCATTGAGGCCAGCAACAAGTTCCCCGTCAAGTTCCCAACACAGACAGCCAGGGTCCAGACACACGTTAAGGTAAGGAGAGTCGTAGAGGGTAGACGGCTCCTGTAAACACCACCGACGTTGAAGACATGACAATGCTTTTTTTCTTCTCAGTGACACAGTGTTTCCGTGACCAATATCTTAGGTCAGTAGGTTTGGAGGTTATAAGAAAATGTGACTACAGATAGAAGCGATTATTATTTGTTCCTTACTCTAGTTATTTTATTTGTTGTTGTGACGAGAGACTGCTAGGTGTGGGGAACTTGTTTTGAGGGGTTTAACTAATTAAGTATTTCCAGCATAACACAAAAACATCCAAAATCACACCTCGGTAACTCCTATTTGGCGAGTAATTATTATTGAAAAATGTCATTAAAATCTTCCAAGCGTCATTACGACCACTAATTACCCCGCAATCGAATCGTGGACCATAGACTCGTAATTAGCATGCTTAGGAACTGGAATTTAAGAGTTTTAATGATGTTTGTCCCTACAGAACGGGAAGGATGTTAAGAAGTTGACGGAACACATCAACACCGCCCGGCCAGTTCTCCATCACCGCTGTCTGCCGCTGTTTGCCTCCTTCCTCCACCACAAGAGGACCTACGGCACGTCAACAGAAAAGTGGGTCACGTACTGTAGTGTAGATGTTGGTGGGCAGTAAATGTTAGTTAATACTGTATATATACTGGGTTAAATGTAGTGGTTATATACAAGTTAGGTGTACTTAGCGCTTCAAGTAAACAGATGATACAGGTCCTGATGGTAACTCTTCCATTACCTTGTCTCCAGAGCTGTGTATGACGGTATGGACATGGTGGGTCTGGTGGACCGGCTTCTACACAAAAGGCCCATTACATTCTTCGGGCGGCTGGACCAGTACCTCCTGCGGGACACGACTCAGAGTAAAGGAGGCTTTGAGAAGATCGGGACAGACCAGGAGACGCCGCCACTCTGCCTCGCCGACTATCTCAGCTACGACGAGATAAAACTCTCTGCTCTGCTCTCTGTATCCTCGCCCTCCTTCTTCATTAATGATGGCAACCGTAAAAACAAAGGAGTGCCAGGAGCTCCCGGCAGCTACCAGGAAGAAGGAGTGGTTGTGGGGATGGTGGGCGCTAGACTGAAGAAGGCGGGCTTCATGGAGTGGCAGGACTGTGTAGTGTCTCGTGACCAGAACACCAGAGAGGGCGGCTACGGTGGTGTGGGGGAGCCACCTCACCTGCAGCACTTGTGGTCCCACATGTGGAGGACGACACTGCCGGTGTGGGACAAAGTCTCAACTCGGAGTGAAGAATTTTTCAAGTTTGGGAGAGAGAACTATGTCAACGTCCCGGTATACAAGGCGCGGATACAGCTGACGGCGGAGACCCTTCTGGCTGAGGCCAAGTCTCGGGCCATGTCGGCAGGACTGAAGGCGTACATCCACGTGGTTGGTCTGGGCTTGGGTGTGTGGCGAGCTTGTCACGAGCAGGACGCCATGTTTGTTGACGCCTGGGGAGCAGCCCTCCAGGCCTGCGACACATCGCAGGTGGCTCATGTGGACTTCAGTTGGATTGGAGCTGACCAGTGCCAGGGTGTGGGCGACGGGGAAGTCTTCCCTGACACGGGCGTTGTTATTCATTTCTCCAAACGATCACTGCACGACCACGTGCCCAAAGGCACCCTGCTGGTAGTCAGCTACGCCTGGGACGGCAACGCCTTCCCCGGGAACGAGTACTGGATCGGTAAGCTGGCGAGCACTGGTGACGGTGCCGCTGCCTGCTCCACGGGCGTGGCCGAGTTGCACAACTCTCACATCAACGCCAATGTGTGTGGCACCAACCTGCACGTAGCTGGGCCCTGGGGTGTGATGCACGTGGGGGAGTACGCCAGTCGTGCCCTCAGTAAACTGTCCTCACACAAGAAGCTCAAGATCACTCCAGAATAACAATAACTTGAGTATAACTTTACCTGGGAAGACCACCATGACGTCACCACCATGAAGTAATCAACACAGTTATAGCATCATATAAATTGTTAAAATAAATACGACTCCAAGGAAGCACAACAAGTTAAGTCATATTGTTATATAATTCTGATGAGGATAAATGTTGGAGAACAGGAATAAAATAAAATTGGAAAAAAGTTTCATTCTCTGAGATTTTCCTTACAACTTCCTTGATCTGAACACACGAGAGTAGTGACCAGACTCCTGACACAAACATGACCTAATGTACAGTAAAGCGTTTAGCCAAGACTTCTTTATCAAGTTAAATTAAGATGTTTGGGATAATACTTTCTCTAGTCTTACTCCTTCAAGCATTACCTCTCCTAAGATGACTATAATTATGAGCACACAGAGATAGAGAGACACTTTTCCTCTTAACTAGCAGTGTATGAACGATTCTTTTAGCAAATTCATATAAAAGTTCTAACCCAACTAAACCAAACCTAACCTAACCCAACTAAACCAAACCTAACCTAACCGAAACACAACTATTCTGACTTTCGTAACTTGTGTTTTAATGAAAGTCTCTAACGAAGTCATTTTAAGTCAAGTAAGAAGCTGAATAACCTGAGCTGGCACTGAAATTACCCTGTGACTCTACCTTAACTACACACCTTTGTTATCCTCAAGGTGTGTGTGTGTGTGTGTGTGTGTGGTACCTCATGTGTGTATATGTGTGTGCGGTACCACGTGTATGTAGTACTCAGCCTATGTGTGTGTGTGTGGTACCTCATGTGTGTATATGTGTGTGTGTGTAGTACTCAGCCTATGTATGTGTTCGTGTGTGTGTGTGTGTACATGAGTGTTAGCACATTCATAAATAACCCGAGTGGACGGTGTATAAGGTTGACAGGTCGGTGTTTCTGAGGTGCATGACACATTGTGGTGTGGCAATGGTTCCCGAGTACCAGTCCCACGTTTACATGTTGTGGTGTAATCGATGGTTTACTTTCTAGGAAGTATTGAAACCTCGACTAAAGGCTTCCATCACTATACATACGTGTTTATACAGACGAGTGTGGCCTTGTGGTGTATAAATGACGAATAATGTGTATATATATATTGTGTATATTTAAAATGTATGTGTGTTTGATAATGGGTGAAGGTTGTGTTTAGTGTATTCTGTTGTATACCATTATCTAGTTCGCTACGACTTTTCTGTACTACTAAGGATTATTCTTCTGTAACACCACCACGACTTCTCTAGTAAAACCATCCTACGACCTTCTCCTACGACCTCAGTTTAAGTATAGATTTCCATGTATTACCCTTCCTATGATCCTTCCATGTCTCTCTCTCTCTCAGTAGTCATTTCCTGCCTCACCTGTGGTACCGAAAACAATTACACTAATGACAGGTGCGGTAGTGGTGGTGGTGGTGGTGTCCCTTTATACACACTGCTACTTAAAAAATATCCTAAGTTAAGTTTGTTATTCATCCTTAACCCTCATCCCTTAATCCCCCCCCCCTCTTCTCTTCCCTTACCCCCCCCCCCATGACCTTGCGTCCCTCAATCCCTAGTATGGAGGACCTAAATAAGTATGTTTTTTTTTTTTTTTTTTTAGGAAGGAAGGTAGAAGTCCACCGAACTTTCGCACACCACCACAGACCAGCCTCGTCAACACCCCCGTCTACCTCCTTCCCTCGGGGCTTCTCCCTCCTGTTGTCATCGATGGAAATTTAAGACAATTTTCTGGCTACAATTCCCATGGTTAAGTTTGTTTGTTTTGATCTACGCATCCCTCGCCTCCGCCTCATGGTAAAACAACACAACAAAATCTTTACCTAGGTTGTTTTTAATTATAAGAAATCAAACTCTTCTTGCTAGCACCTGTCCTGCGCGATAGCTACTGCGCAGTCAATGCCACGGTAGAGCAATTTCCACTTTCACTATATCTACCAATCTTTTTTAGACTATTAATCTATATCACTTAAGTATCATATCTCTTTTAAATTCCGTATGGGGGTTTTATTTCGTGATATTAACAAAAGATGAGGTTGTAAAATGATAGAAACGGAATGAGAAATAATGAAACAAAACCCCACTGGTCCCTCGAGCTGGTGGTGGCGACGCTGCCCACAGGTACTGGCGGCGGTACGATCACTGTAAACTAAAGTTCCTGGTACCTGGATATACTTCACCTCCAAGTGTCCCCCGATGGTGAGTGTGTCGCAGTTAGAACTCTAAATAACGGAGCTGTCTCACTGGGTTTGATTTTGACCCCCATCTCGTTCCGGTTTAAGGAAGGCGAAGTGATAAAACCATTACAATTTGAGGTTGCCTGGTGGTAAGGGTCAGCGGGGAAGGAGATGACTGACGCACCAACACACACAGGTGAATCAACGAACGACTGGTGAATACTACTCACGTTAACAGGTGTTCCCAAGGGTGGTGTAGAGCCAGTGCATGAGTCACACATCACCCTCACTTTCACACAGAAAATAAACGAACTACATTAAATTATCCTTCGTCTCCTCCTCAGAAACGAGTATTTGTGTCTCATTATGATAAAGAGTTACTAGAAAATTCCATTACACCAACGAGGAATAACTTACGTGTGTAGTGAAGGTGGTGAGTGCTGGAGACTGGCGTTGTCGTCTTCACAGGCGGACGAACACAAGAAGCGACTCTCGCCAAGCGCTCCCCGGCCCCTCTGTTTACATTATGGACCCATACTGTTTTCTCATCTCCCCTGGGCCTATCAGTTACCCCTACCTGACACTCACACAACGACATACCTGTGAGTAATTATCTCTGCATCATTATTTACACCTGAATCATCCAATCAAAAGTGTGAAACAATTTTAAAGTTTTTTATATAGGGAGTTTTTCACAGGTGTACGGTAAGGAAGGATAATAATCATTAGCATATGTTCGGTGGGTCAGGTGAGGCCTCTCTCTCTCTCAGTGAATATTTTATCATTTGGTGGAAAAAAAGTAGAAAATCGACTCTGTGAAAGTTTGTAAAAGTATGGAAATGTTTTAAGTTTAACAAGTAAAGAAAAGGTGAAATGTTCATAATACTTAATTAATATTTTTTAGTGTTTAATTACCAATAGATCTTGATGATGGACACATACAGGCCAACGGGAAGATATAAACATTATTGTACACATAAGGAAAAAAAATATGAACGAAATAAAGTGAAAACGAAGAAAATTGTAAACATGTGAAGAAATATGAATAAATTAACATATAAATAATAAATAACTAAATTAAACACAGGAACCAGAGATAATTAATTAGTAAGAACAAAACAAGTGGATAAGATTGAACTACTGAAATATTGAACATTGAAGAACAGTCCTGACAGGAAGACAGATATATACAACAGGAAATTGATAAAAAAAGGAATCAACAACACTTCGGGGAAAGAGATATAACGCTAAAAAAAATTATTAAAAGAAAATTAATAACAGTCGAAGAAAAAATTGAAGTGTATTATAGTGTTTTGAAGTCGGTTAGGATAGGTTAAGCTTTAAGTGAAATAAGCTGGAGTGGAGATTCTTCAGCTTATTATATACAAAAACACCAGAAAAGTGATAAACTAACATTCATAATCATCTACAACATTATTAATAACTTAACATTTACAGCTTCTGATTATTATTATTACTTAAACCCCACTACATTAGGCCTGTTTCCCACTCACCCAACCCTCCTTATCGTATTAATAAAACTTGAAGACAAAAATACTTATTTATATCAACTAATTAAATCATATTCAATAAATAAATAAAAATTATGTCATAGATAAATACCTTAAACTTTTGTGTGTCTTATGAGTGTTTTAAAATTCGTAAATCTAGGTAAACATCGTGTTCAAAAACCAACATGGTGGTGGTCCAATGTTAAAAAAAAAAAACAATATATTTTCCATCTAACGAAAAATATCCACTTTACGTCAATAATTTCCTTTTATATATCCACCATAATATGTACATGTATACAGGGGCAATTCTAGGTTAATGATATACAATATACATAAATAATTAACCTTGTGGAGAGAACGTGCATAATTTCAATGCCTCCTTCACCCGCTTCTACAGTAGGGCCCTGAACTAATGTATTGTTCCACCATTAGTACCACACCCAAAACTGTTCCATTCTCTTCATTTCCACTCTTGTTGTTCCACCATTTGTACCATTCATACTTATACATTGATCCACCCCGTACAAAAGTGCCAGAAACAATCCACCTCGATTGTGTGTGTGGACAACTAGTGGATGAGTCAGACTGGCATAGAACGTGACGTGGGTAAGGATAGTGATGATGGTGCAAGGTGGTGGTGGGGGGTGGTGGTGGTGGGGGTGGTGGTGGTGTGGAGGGGGGTGGTGGTGGTGGGGTGGAGTAGTGGTGGGGGGTAGTGGTGGGGGTGGTAGTGGTGGTAGGGGGTGGTGGTGTGGTGGGGTGGTGTGTGGGGGGTGGTGTGGTGGTGGTGGTGGTGGTGGTGGTGGGTAGGAGGATGTGGTGATGTTAGTTAACCTCGTAGGCATGTCCCTTACCTGGAGCTTTAATGATTCACCTGCTGAGTGACACCTGTTGGTTACTAATAGATGATATTAGTAGTAGAAGTAGTAGTAGTAGTAATAGTAGTAACAATAATAATATTATTATTATTGTTGTTGTTGTAGGCAGAACACACTAGGCTAAAGACCTGTTCATAATAGTAATTAACAACTTACCACACAGGTGACACGAAGCTAATTCTCGCCTCAGGTAAGTGGCCAGGTAGTATATAACACCGTGTGGGCTAATTAACACGCTAGGAACACCAGGTACTAGGAGAACATTCCAGAAACACTACGTCATCACCGCCATTGTTGGTTGACGCGTGACGTAAACAAAAACAAGTAAATTAATTTAATAAAAATACAAATAAAAGAATAAATAACAACTTCGAAGATTCAGTGCTATTTAATCCAGTCTAGAATCTTTTTTATGTAACCCTGAAAAAATCTATTTATTGTAAAGCCATTTATTGAAGAGGTGTGAGTTTTTATTGAATGGAGAATTAGGAAAGTTTTGAAGTGGGGCGTGAGAGAAGGTCCCCATCCTCCTCGACCCAGTCACCCCTCTCCACCCACGCACTCCCCCATCACCCCCACCACCCCCCTCCTCACCCCTCCCCCCCCTCCCCACCCATCCTCCCAACCCTCCCACCCACATCCCCCCCCCCCCTCCTCACCCACCCCTTCTCCACCCACACCCCTCCCCAGTCCCCCATCCTCACCACACCCCTCCACCCACTCCTCCCCCCTCCCCACCCCCCTCCTCACCCCCCATCCCACCCCCCTCACCCAACATCCGGGGAAGCTGTCACTAAAAGTCTCCACCCAACTATTATTTAAGCCGCTCTGCCTCTCCCGACCTGACTGGTAATGTTTTAACAGCGTGAGGGACGTTTAACCTCCCCCCCAATTGACGCTACTTGTAAAAAAAATTGATTAAACGGAAATTACAGTAACTATCTTACCAATTTCAGGCCATTGTAGTAGTGAAATTGGGTCACCACAGAGATAGACTATTACAGTGACTATTTACCAATTTAATTTAGAGGTTTAATGGTTGTTAATAGGATTAGATCGTATTGAAAAGTGATGTAACAGACAAGAGTAATTGGTTTTATGACTAAGGGAAGAATAATTACAGATTACAGGTACAGATTACAGGTACAAGAGCAGTATTTAGTACATATAGAAGATAAATTGTCCATATATTCATTCCACATAGACACACACACACATATTTATTCTAATCATCCCAATGGTATATAAAAACATTGTTTGCAAGTCTCATAAAGTAAACAATATCTACCTGTGATACACCTATTGTTTGCACTACCCGGGTACAGTGTCACCTCGGATCTGTGCCAATCAGAGTTTAGTTTTGGCTATGTAAACAAAACGGCCAAGATCTTTGTTTACAGGTCTTGTTTACATTCAATCGTTTGTTTATTAGTGAGTGAGTAAAAAGGATTCTCTCTGTAGTGTGGATCAACTGTAGTGTGGATCAACTGTACTGTGGATCAACTGTAGTGTGGATCAGCTGTAGTGTGGATCAACTGTAGTGTGGATCAACTGTACTGTGGATCAACTGTAGTGTGGATCAGCTGTAGTGTGGATCAGCTGTAGTGTGGATCAACTGTAGTGTGGATCAGCTGTAGTGTGGATCAGCTGTAGTGTGGATCAGCTGTAGTGTGGATCAACTGTACTGTGGATCAACTGTAGTGTGGATCAGCTGTAGTGTGGATCAGCTGTAGTGTGGATCAACTGTAGTGTGGATCAGCTGTAGTGTGGATCAGCTGTAGTGTGGATCAGCTGTAGTGTGGATCAACTGTACTGTGGATCAACTGTAGTGTGGATCAGCTGTAGTGTGGATCAGCTGTAGTGTGGATCAACTGTAGTGTGGATCAGCTGTAGTGTGGATCAGCTGTAGTGTGGATCAGCTGTAGTGTGGATCAACTGTACTGTGGATCAACTGTAGTGTGGATCAGCTGTAGTGTGGATCAGCTGTAGTGTGGATCAACTGTAGTGTGGATCAGCTGTAGTGTGGATCAGCTGTAGTGTGGATCAGCTGTAGTGTGGATCAACTGTACTGTGGATCAACTGTAGTGTGGATCAGCTGTAGTGTGGATCAGCTGTAGTGTGGATCAACTGTAGTGTGGATCAGCTGTAGTGTGGATCAGCTGTAGTGTGGATCAGCTGTAGTGTGGATCAGCTGTAGTGTGGATCAACTGTAGTGTGGATCAACTGTAGTGTGGATCAGCTGTAGTGTGGATCAACTGTAGTGTGGATCAACTGTAGTGTGGATCAACTGTAGTGTGGATCAACTGTAGTGTGGATCAACTGTAGTGTGGATCAACTGTAGTGTGGATCAACTGTAGTGTGGATCAACTGTAGTGTGGATCAGCTTATACTTGCAGGTCACCAGGTGGATCCAGGAGTCATTTTGTAGGTGTACATAATCCACGATCCATCAGTAACCTTTTGTTGATCCTCTACAGGTTGGGGAAGTAAGAGAGACCTGAAGCCAGTACCACAACTACCACAACTACTACCACAACTACTACCACAATAACTACCATCATGGGGTGTAGTCTTCGAAGTGTGACGACATGTGGCCTTGTGTTGGCCATCCTTGACCTGGTGAGTTAGGTTAAAGACAGCCAATCAGAGGCTTTGGGATAATCTACGTCATCAATAAATAACCAATCATCTTCCTTGACCTGGTGAGTTAGGTTAAAGACAGCCAATCAGAGGCTTTGGGATAATCTACGTCATCAATAAATAACCAATCATCTTCCTTGACCTGGTGAGTTAGGTTAAAGACAACCAATCAGAGGCTTTGGGATAATCTACGTCATCAATATATAACCAATCATCTTCCTTGACCTGGTGAGTTAGGTTAAAGACAACCAATCAGAGGCTTTGGGATAATCTACGTCATCAATATATAACCAATCATCTTCCTTAACCCTTTTTGTTGTAGTGATTTGACCTTTAATGACCTTTCAGCTACACGGATTGGGAACATTGGCGTTCTATGGATACCAGTTCCATGTTCATTATGTTTGCCACTGGAACCACGGCATACGCTGGTGCCAATATTACCTGCAGGAGACAAGTGAGTCCGTCTGAGTTGCCTGGTGGAGGGGCAGGGAGTCCTTTAGTTAGGATGCTTAGTCTTCAGATGAAATATATTAGGGGTCTAATATTCATGTGATATATTAATTATTGTTGTTGTTATTTCGTGAGGACTAACCCCCCCCCCTCCCCCCCTTCAGATCACAGCGTTCGAGTCAACATTGGCATCGGGGAAGGCGTGGTGTGTACGATCTTCGCCTGTCTCCTCATCGTCAGCCTCTGCAAGGTAAGTCAGTTATTGTTTCATCTATGTGTGACGTTATGGCGGGACTGGAGGCAGTTTATCTGTGCCCACCAATGAATTTTATACCAATAGTTATTTTATCTAGGCCGTGTATAGTGAAGATGTTATATTGGCTTCAGTTTACGAGTTGTTGTGTGTGAACTCTTGGAACAATTTGACGGCACCGAGTGTTAGCTGTTTCAAGACCAGGCTGGAGCAGGTTCAGATACATTCAGTTCATGCCCAGTACTTGCCAACAGTGTGTAACAGAGACGTGACCGATCACACCAAGCAGCTAACGAGCCGGTCAGTGGCAAAGAGGATAGAAGCAAAAGTGTGTGTGTGTGTGTGTGTGTGTGTGTGTTTTGTTGTTGTTTCAGTACGTGTATACGATAAATAGAGAGACAGAATGGCAAACAGAACGATGTCTTGGGCTATCCTTCATTGGATCAACATATTTTATTGCTAATTAGAACTTATCTGTGTCTTAGATCCTGGTTAATTAATAATTATACACAAAATATTCACAAACTCAACCCTACTTGTCATTTTGAGTTAGTCCAGTCAATATAAATTTCACAATACCTGATAAAATATCCTCTTAGTATTGTACAAACTAAACATTTAGAGGTAGATAAAGTAATGCTAAATTATATGTCCCTGAAACAGTAAAGGTTACACGCTGAAAAAAAAATATCGACTTATAGTATTAAATATTCGTGTAGTTCCTCCTAAAAATAACTATGAAGAAAACGAGCGTGGGTGAGTCGAGTCCGTTTTCTGTAATAGAGACCCGTAACACTAACTAATTTAACCAACATTTTACTCTACAAAATCGTCATATAATTTTACATTGGTTCAGCGGGTACATATATAGTGTAGAAATGCAAACGATATATATATATATATATATATATATATATATATATATATATATATATATATATATATATATATATATATATATATATATATATATATATATATATATATATATATATATAACTTATCATCTTATGATCTACAGACAAATGAAAAACTTGTTCTTGGTTTTGGTAGGAAGTTTTCTATCACTCAACGGTGTGTTAATCCGCTGACTATTGCTAAAGGTTTAATCAACCTGGAAAAGAATAAGTCGTCAGATGTTACAAATGAAGATATTTCCATAGCTGAAGGTTGTATACATTATGTTTTACATAAAAAATTTGTTTCAAACATTCCAAAAAGATTTGAAACAGCCTTGATAAACTTGAAAAGAAATAAGAATATCCATATTACCAAGGCTGATAAGTCTAATGCTATTGTTATCTTGGATAAAAGTGACTACAATGATAAGATGAATTCATTACTTAGTGATGAAAGCACGTATTGTGAGCTTACGAAAGATCCCCTGGAAAATATTAATAAGTTATCTAATTCCAAAATGAAAATATATATACACCTTGTTTTGTACTTCCCTTCAGTCTGTACTCACCCCTGAAGATGTGAATTACACGAAAGCGCTTGGGAACTTCGTGTTTTCTTCTTTCCTTGTGGTTATCAGCATATACCTAGATCACGCGCACCTACAGTGATTTACTTGCATATATATATTCCAGACATACAAACAATGTGCATAGACAGTGCAGGTATATTAAATAAACCAAATTGATATTAATCTAGTAGAAACATCATTAAAAATTCACACTGGCTAAACATCTAACCACCTCGCCTCTCCGCAGTATAAGCCGTGGTTGACGTGGCTGTGGCTACTGAAGGCGGTGGTAGTGGTTATCATCAACGGGTACTTCATCATCATATGGCTCATGGAGAAATCCCGCCACTACCACCAGTTCTGGGACCGTCACAACTACGACCAGGACGGGATATTCTTAATGGCGGGAATCGGACTGACCACGGTAGAAATCCTCATCATGTTTATTTTCTGTTGTGTTAGCGGCTCCTTCACTTACAAGGTGAGATGAGAGTGAGTTTAACGGGTGTCAAATATGTTAATAGATGTTTACTGAGTGTTGAGATGAGTTTGGTTTACAGGTTTGGTTTACAGGTTTGGTTTACAGGTTTGGTTTACTGGTTTATACGGGTTTGTCTGTAGGGTTTCAGAAGGTAGATGACTCACTTCAGAAGGTAGATGACTCACTTCAGAAGGTAGATGACTCACTTCAGAAGGTAGATGACTCACTTCAGAAGGTAGATGACTCACTTCAGAAGGTAGATGACTCACTTCAGAAGGTAGATGACTCACTTCAGAAGGTAGATGACTCACTTCAGAAGGTAGACGACTCACTTCAGAAGGTAGATGGTTCAAAACTACTTCAACGTGTGTGTGTGTGTGCGTGTGTGTGTGTGCGTGTGTACCTGCAAGTCAATGAGTGACTCGGCTGACGAAATACTACAGCTGTCATCACTTTTTTTCACGAGAACCTCATTTTGTTGTAGCTAATGACGTGGTTGTGGTTAGGTGTTGTGGTTGGGTGGTTATTGATGTAGTTGTTTCTATTGTGGTTGTTAGTAATGGTGGTTGTTGTGGTTGATGTTTGTAGTGAGTGTTGTTGTTATTGTTTTAGACAGAGTAGTTGTTGTGGTGGAAGTTGTGGTAGTGGTGGCAATAGCTGTTGTGGTTGTTGTTCTTCATTTATGGTAGAGAACGTCCTGGTTCTTTAGGATTATGGTATACGTTCTCTAAGTTATAAAAACCCAACCCCTTCCTCCCTTGGACCCTCTGAACGCCCCCTGAACGCCTCTAAATGCCCCTAAACGCCTCTGAATACCCTTGAACGTCCTCTGAACACCTCCGAACGCCCCTGAATGCCCTCTGAACACCCCCGAACGCCTCTGAACACCCTCTGAACACCTCCTGAACGCCCCTGAATCCCTTTGAACGTCCTCTGAACACCCCCTGAACGCTCTGAACACCTCTGAACACCCTGAACGCCTCTGAACATCTCCGAACGCCTCTGAACACCCCCGAATGCCTCTGAACATCTCCGAACGCCTCTGAACACCCTCTGAACACCCCCAAAACGCCTCTGAACACCCCCGAACGCCTCTGAACACCCTCTGAACACCCCCGAACGCATCTGAACGCCCCTGAATGCTCTCCATCACTTATCGAGAAAACTTAACCAAGCAGATCTAACACCCTTATCGCAGAGGCCCGCTGACTAACCCTCGAGGTACCCTGATTCACTTCCTCTGGTCACTCTCCCCGCTGTTGCTACACTACGTTCACTAACCGACACTGATTCATGACTTAAAATAAAACATACATCTTAGAATATAATTTCCTAATATTAACCTTCAAATGATATAAATGACTTAACTAAGGTTCATTCATTGGTGAGTTTTATGGTTTCGTTTATGGTTTGTTGTGGTTTGAAGAATAAAACAAAATAGAAGCGTTTCCTGTGTTTACAAAGATATTGGCTAAGTTGGAGATTATATGATTATAGAACACAATGGTTATTTCTCTGTAATATTTGTAAGGGTTGAATTCTTAATGTCTTTATGTAGATGGTCATTTAAAGCTGTGATTGAAGTGGATGTAATTGTTCGTGACTTTAATCTGATGTGATAGTTGGAAATATCACAGGAGTTTTATACCGTCAGGGATCTCTCAGCTAGTAGACGGGGGAATAGTTCAGTTCCTAGTTAAAGTTTGTCGTGGGAGGGAGGAGGGGGGGTGACTTTTGGGGCATGGTTGAGATATTGGAAGGTCTGTCAGCTTAGTGTGTTGGAAGGGCTGTCAGCTTAGTGTGTTGGAAAGGCTGTCAGGTGACTGTGTTGTGGTACAGGAAGGGACATATACGTATGGGGGTTGGTTGGGGGATCAGAGGGTCACATGAGGCCTTGAGTGTCAGAACCCTGTATCTGTGTGTTGGGTGAGGCAGGAAGACACAATGGAGGACTCTGGGTAGTGACAGCGATATTGGGGACAGTCAACCTCGAAACTAAAGGATGAAGGAGTGTCATTTTCTGGAAACCTTTCTTGTTTCTACAGCTTCTACAGGAGTGGGGAGGATATGGCGGTGTGGCCGAGAGACTAAAGTCGTGAGGGAACGTCTCTGTGGGCTTTAGTTACTGCCAGGGAGATTAACCGATCCTAATAATGCTTTTGTTTTTATTCTAATACTGCTGATTCAGGTGTTTAGGTTATGTATACTAATTCCACATTTTCACAGGTATTGTATCAAATGTGACCAGCCATGGCAGTAAGTATGGGCCAAGAGGAAGAGTTTGTGTATAGTAGAGGAGACGACGTTTAGTGGTTGAGGCTCTCTGTAAGACACGTGTAGCTTGGAAGACGGTCTGAGTGCCTCTATACCGGTACTTTCTGAGTGTTTACTGGTTGATCTGTCTCTAGAGGAACACAGGGAGTAACACCTGACGACAATGAAGCTGAAAGCCAGTGAAGTCAAGTGTTAATAATATAAAGAAGATAGTTCCTGCGTCTGAGACCTTAACAAACTCTACAACACAAGTTCTTTATGTTTAAATTAATATATTCACGACATAATTTCCTTTATTTATAGTTGGGATATGTTAAACAGTTTCTTTTAGGATTGGCCAAACATATCTATCAAGTGTCCCTAAGGCAATGTTGTGTTTCCTCGACAGATCCGTAGTCAGAGAGTTCCTACAATGGAGACGGACATCTGAGCACCCAGACCCCACACCCCACCAGCCCTAAAGGGACCCACCACACCCCACCAGCCCTCAAGGGACCCACCACACCCCACCGGCCTCACCTTCCCCTGACGGCCTGGACGACCGATCCCTACTGATTGAGAAGGTCCTCTAGGGCGAAGATCTTACAGTGTGTGAAGGTGTGTTAATCGCCGTCACGAGAGGACCGACAAGCATCACCTCCTTCAGTAGACAAACAATGTGAAGGCTAAGACTAAGATTCAGAACAAAACAGCTTAGTTGACTCTCTTTACAGCTTGATTTCAAACTTTAAGCCTCAGCAAGACTTAAATTCATATGCTGTTTACTGCTAGAGAAGCTTGATGACTGCCATACTAGCTTTACTGCCTCGCCACAGCTTGAGTGTGCGTGTAAGTGTGTGTTGTAGCCGCTGTGGAAGGAGTTTTACCACGAGTGACACAGACAATCGCCACACACACACACACTCGCCAAACACTCGCCACACACACACACTCGCCAAACACTCGCCACACACACACACACTCGCCAAACACTCGCCACACACACACACACTCGCCACCTTCGGTCTCCAGCACCACCAACCATTTAACGTTATTAATTCTCGGGACAGAGGCAATGAACTGTGCCAAAAGTAGAAGGAGTAGCCATCTATAACTACCACTGTTGGGAGTTAAGTTGTTGTTTACTACTTAGGCAGAGGAGGAGGAGACGCCGCACATCGTAACTGGTGGCTTGTTACTTTACATATAGTTAATTGGACTGTCAGTATCGTAGGTATGTGTTATGATTATACTAAACATGTGTGTGTGTGTAGTGTAGGAGCGTCTACATCACCTCCAGCACTAAAACTCCCCTCCCTCATCCCACACCCTCCCACCCCAAGACGCTATACTCAAGATCCAGTGTATTCAGAACTTGTACCTCACCCTTACCTCACCTGTAACCTTACCAACACCTCACCTGTACCTCACCAACACCTCACCAACACCTCACCTGTACCTCACCAACACCTCAGCAACACCTCACCTGTACCTCACCAACACCTCACCAACACCTCACCTGTACCTCACCAACACCTCACCTGTACCTCACCAACACCTCCAACACTCACCTGTACCTCACCAACACCTCACCTGTACCTCACCAACACCACCAACACCTCACCTGTACCCACCAACACCTCACCTGTACCTCACCAACAACACTCCTCACACCTCACCTGTACCTCACCAACACCTCCCCAACACCTCACCAACACCTCACCTGTACCTCACCAACACCTCACTCACCAACACCTCACCTGTCACCTCACCAACACCTCACCAACACCTCACCTGTACCTCACCAACACCTCACCATACATCATCGTAAACACTATCAGGGAATTACAACTCAAGAGACAAAGTTGTAGTTGTGAGTTACTATCTAGTTTATAACTCTTTCTCTTGTGTGTCGGGTGGATGATGGGGTAGAGCAGTGGTTCTCAACCTGGGGGCCATGGCACCCAAGGGAGCCACGGCAAGAATTTAGGGGAGCCACGGCGAGCTGTTATAAATTGTACGTTTCCAAATAATGTTGGGAATCTGAATTAAACAAAACTTGTATTACTGATTTTGACTTGGCAGAAGAGAATTTTCAATCTTTTTTTTGTCATTTTGTTTATCATAGCGACAATACAATTTTAATGTTTACAAACTCTGGTGATAATTGTTTTTTTTTTTTTTACGGATTATTTAAGATTTCACGGGTCCAGTACCTGTGTGTGTGACAGGCGCTGGACCGAGCTGCTGAACTGACTTGTTCAGTACGTGTCCGTGTGTCATCCCTTTGCAAGTGGTGATAGGACCGAATGGGAGGAAAATGAAGGAGGCCACGAGGATGGTGAAAATTCCTCAAGGGGGGGAATGGAGTGAACAAGGTTGAGAGCCACTGGGATAGAGAGTTCTGAATGGTGGACGGGATGGGATAGAGGGGAATAGCAGGTCTAGACATCGGGTTAGTAGGACAGGAAGCGTGTGAGACAACAAAGAATGGTAATACTCACACGTATCCAGATCCTTCACTTTAGGAATGTGTGTGTGTGTGTGTGTGTGTGTGTGTGTGTGTGTGTGTGTGTGTGTGTGGTTACATTCTTATTAAAAATAATCATTACACCTGTTATATCCTCTTTCATCACCTACTACCACCATTACTATCTCCACCTACCACAATCTTCTACAACCACCACCACCACCACCACCACTCAATGTTTATTGATGTTAGTAGTGGCTTGTATGGCTCAACAAGTGGAGGGTCACTGTGTTGGCTTTACCTGTGAGAGAATGCACGCTTATACACGCACCCACTCCAGTATACTGTACAAACAATTACGCACGCAATCAAGCACACACTTCTGCACGCAATCAAGCACACACTTCTGCACGCATGAACGCACTTTCGCTCGCATGAACGCATTTACGCACGCACGAACTCACTCACGCACGCATCAACGCAATCACGCACACATGAACACACTCATGCACGCACAGACGCACTCACGCACGCACGAACGAACGCACTTGCGCACACACGCACGCACTCACGCACAAGCTTTAAGGATTTTCTACGCATAAGCCTACATACGCATATTTAGGAACGCATGAAAGATTCGGGAAACCTGTACGCACACGTTTTCTTACGCACACAGAGTTGAATGTATGTACACACACTTCCAAGCGGGTGTACAGTCGTATCTATGTACACATGTATACACTGTATTTGATACACATAAACGCATGGATGAGTAGTCAGGCATGGTGGTGTAGACAGGCGCGCACACAGAAGCGAGCACTGACACACAAACGCATGCATACATAGCTACGCACGCACGTAATGCACAGCGATGCACGCACACATGCACACACATACTGTATATGCAACAATGCACGCACGCATACGCCGCAATGCATCCACGCATACACCGCAATGCACTCAAGCATTCACAACAGTGTACCCACACACACACACACACACACACACACACACACACTACATAAGTAATTAATTTACCTTTAGGTCAGTAACCCACTTAGCGTGACGTCAGTGTTGTGTCAGTCGCTTAGGAGTAAACAAGATTTATATCGGAAATATGTTGCTGGCTAATTAACGTTTGTTCTACCTGTCTCGTGAATATTTTTATATAAATATTGTTTTTTAAAGAAAGTTTACCTATTCAGTCAAAGAAAGTTCCCCAGCCAGTCATAACCAAGTATAGTTGTGATGTCATCAGTGACGGGAGAGCAATATCTGACGTCAGAGAAAATCATCTAAAGTCGTCATCTGTCGTGTTACATCAGCCCCTTGTAAAATAACGAACTGGTAACTGTTACATGTTATACGTCCCAGTTCATTAGTTCCCGTCTTATTATTTATTTACTGAGTACAGAGAGAACACTTAACGAACACAAGGAAGGATGTTTCGTTACCAAGCGAGAGAGGTGAGGGGCGCTGACTGCCCTCACGACAGAGGTAGAGGGAGGAGATCTTGGCGGGAAGTGAGGCATTACAGAAATCCCAGTACGTCATGACTCCCTTAAAGCGTAGTTTGTTGTAACCTTGGTGTTAGATATCATAATTTTAGGACTTCCGATGGTGTTGACGTCAGCGTGTGTACCCCATGATGTAGCAAACGTCCACCAGGTGTGATCTGATATTCACACCATGATGAGTCTATCTCCCTGGTCGATGTTTACATATAACTTAGTGGGAATTGAGATGGGAAACTCACCCTAGTTTATAAAGGGAAGTAGTGTAACGTTTAGGCCATCTGGTAGTTGTGGGGTAAACTATAATAGTCTTCATGGTGGGTAGTAAATGTTTTTTCAATTTATCTTATTTTTCGAAGGTAATTATCATAATCTAGACACAACACTCACTGAAAATAGGACACTATATCAGGGTATATTTAGAAAAAAACTAGAAATCCAACTAAAACAGAAGACAGAGAAATATACGGGAACAAAAATTAAACAAAACTCCTCCCTGTAGGTAAGGTCGAGGTTTCTGCAAACATCTGGATCCATAGTGTGTAGCGTCTGTGCAGTTTTAATGAAGAACTTTAAGCTAAATCACGTGTTTGTTTGATGGCATTTGGTGTTTGTGAGATCATAAAACACACTCTTGATAATGTTGGTTATATTGAAACACTGAAACCGTTTATAATGATGGTTCAGGTAACGTGTTTGCTTGTTGTTGCATTTAATTAATTGTTTAAGGTTCTTTTGTAGTCCTCTAATGAATCTGAATCATCTTACTGTGTATTTAAGGTCTTGTTGTATTATTTAACTATCAAAGACCCGAATGATTCACTGATTCATTGATTTATGATGTCATCTTGTGTTGGCTGATGATAACGTGTGAACAGTACAATCACCCATGAAAGTCCTCTCGTCTCTCTTGCTGCTTCACCAACCCAGAGATTCAGATTCATGAAACCGAAGCATTTATAGATAGAATAATGAATCAATCTACTGCTTCGGGTTCACGAGTTTGAATCTTCGGGTTCATTAATGGATCAATCTACTGCTTCGGATTCACAAGTCTGAATCTTCGGGTTCATTAATGGATCAATCTACTGCCTCGGGTTCACGAGTCTGAATCTTCGGGTTCGTTAATGGATCAATCTACTGCTTCGGGTTCACGAGTCTGAATCTTCGGGTTCGTGAAGCGGTAAAAAAAGACGATGGGAGCTTTCTTCATTTTCCCGCCCTTTATAAAACTATGTAAATGTTTGACTTGGGTATAAACTATGTACTTGACCCATGAATAATAATGACGGTGACTTGAAAACTATTTAGAAATCGAATCTCTTTATGGATCACCTGAAGATTTTAGAGACTTCCTAGCTAATTTGACCTGATTGACCCTAACGTTAACCTAACCTAACCCTCCCAGGTAGCATTAATTAGAAGGTGAAATAAACTAGGGTGTCTAATCTACAGGTAATTATCTTAATATATACTTGAGCTGAGAAGAAAAATATTGAGATGTTATTATTTAATATACCTGACAATATTATTTTGACAGTCGTTCATAATATTACTATTTTTACTGAACTATATCTCAAGTTTATTGTATTGGAATTACTGTAATATTTTTTTTTAATAATTTAATGTATTTTGTAATTTTTGTTAAACCGTAACTTCATGACAATTTGATTTACAGTGTGTGTGTGTGTGTGTGTGTGTGTGTGTATTTATCTCTCTCTGTTATATAATGTATTGGGTGATAATGTTTTTTACAGATCTCTTTGTACCTGAGTGGAGAGAGAGAGAGAGAGACATTATCTCTCACACATGTTATCCTGGAGTATGTGGTGTCCTCGCAAGAGTTACTAGGCGTTAGTAGCTAGCTAGATCCTGGTCCTAGTATCCTCCTAGTAGTATCGTCCTAATAGCTGTCTTAGATGTTGTACGATATCCTTGTGTTTTGGGGCTGGTTACTGGTGAATTTATTACCATGGGGACTAGTTACACCTGAATACGTCTTAGGGGGCTGGTTACTGGTGAATTAATCCCTATCAAGTCCAGGTACCACTGAATCTACCACGTGTTTACTTTTATCACATTACTGAAACCTTCAAGTTAATTTCAGTAGATGTTTGATAATGTTTATTTTAATGCTTTTGTTTTCAAGTTTGTTTTATTTAGCTTAGTGTTAGGTTTTATATATATAGACAAAAAAAAACTCCAATGGTACTTGCAAAGGAGGAATTTCAGAATGTTTTGTTTTTTTAACCCTAGAAAAGTAATATGGGGTAAAAAAATAAAACCACGTTGAAGTATGAGTTTTTATGTTGAATGTTGATGAATTTGAGTGTAGAGTTATGGTAGTTATGAGTGTCATCCCCCCTGAAGGATGACTCAATACTAGGAGGTGTTGAGTCTTAGCTGTGTGTCAAGTCCCCAGGAGGAGGTGTTGAGTCTTAGCTGTGTGTCAAGTCCCCAGGAGGAGGTGTTGAGTCTTAGCAGTGTGTCAAGTCCCCAGGAGGAGGTGTTGAGTCTTAGCAGTGTGTCAAGTCCCCAGGAGGAGGTGTTGAGTCTTAGCTGTGTGTCAAGTCCCCAGGAGGAGGTGTTGAGTCTTAGCAGTGTGTCAAGTCCCCAGGAGGAGGTGTTGAGTCTTAGCTGTGTGTCAAGTCCCCAGGAGGAGGTCTTCCTGGCGTTTACTGTCATCCTTCTCATTGTTAATTACTTTTTTTTCTTTAATGAATCACCTGTTGTTGATGACAGGTGATAAGGAGGATTTGTTGTGGTAGATGGTGTTAGATCACAGGTTGTTTAATGGTTCAGTTTCTCAAAGGTTCTTATGTCAATTATTCCTCCCACTACCCTACCTGACGTCCCTCCTTCCTCATCCCTATCCCCTCTCCTTCCCCCATCCTCCTTCTCCCTCCGTCCCTCCCTCCATGTCCAATTAAATTATGTAGTATCTTTAGCAGTCATATCACACGTCACAACCGGATATCAGGAATTTGGTGGCGTTGTTATAAGCCGGATTTAAGGTGAAATGGTTGACTATACGAACCTTTTATGAGAATCTGGATTTGTTGTAATTTTTTTTAGTCGATATTTTTTGTACTTATTTGGTGTTGACTTGAAGTGCCTACGGGAGAGACACACTCACTCCCGATCAAAGCTCTCAAGTCTAACCTATAATATGTATTGAGATATATATATATAATAGCCTTTGTTTACTTTGGGCTCAACATGTTGCAACGTGTTATTGATACCACGTGTCTGTGTTTACATTTTGAGCTCAACATGACGGAAGTGTTATTGATACCACGTGTCTCTGTTTTGATACGAGTTAGTAAAGGATATATATATATATATTCTGAATAATGAATTTAATGGTAGTGAACGATTCTCAGAGGCATTTATATAAATCGAATGTATCTTGTGATATATACATTTGTTCCGTAATGTTGATCAAATACCATTATCCTAATTATTATATAAGGAATGTTTATGTTTTTGTATAAGTGCTTGGCTAGAATAATGTCTTTTATCTCTGGCTTTTATATCACTTTGTGTTTGGCCTCTACAAGGGGTCTTTAAAACAGCTGTGACTGGGATACACTAATCCCAAGTGTGAAGTCTTTGGAGATTAGTAGGTCTGTTTTCCCCTGGTTGGACTGTATAAGACCCCTGAAACCGTAGCTTAACTTAACCATTAGAACTAGGGTCTCTTAGAAGTAGGATCCATTAGTTCAGATGGTCCCATTAGAGTTGGGGGCTGATAAATCTGGGGTCCATTAGATCAGGGGTCTGTTAAATATATGGCCCATTAGATCCAGGGCCTATTAAATCCGTGGCCAAGTAGACCCAGGTCCTATTAAATCTGGGGCCCAATCGATCAAGTAGAGATCGAGCACAGAGTTGAGTTTCTTAGCGGCTACAGTTATGATTATTGACGTGTATACGGGAGTTGTTTTGGTTATTAACTGTCGAGGTATCCGCCATATTGGTGTGTTGACGCATTAAACACTCACCAGCTGTGTTTATATTGTGTTTTATTTTATACCATCACCTATATAAAAGATGTGAATTACACGAAAGCGCTTGGGAACTTCGTGTTTTCTTCTATCCTTGTGGTTATCAGCATATACCTATATCACGCGCACCTACAGTGATTTACAGTGAGTCCTCCCCTTTCCGCGTTTAGTTTTAAACTCCCTGTCTAATTCAGTTTTGTCATCATTCCTAACACTATTTCCCTGTAATCTTTCACTTTGTTTACCCGCTCCCACTGCAGTCTCCTCCACCCCCATGCTCATATGTTCTCCTAGCAGTTTAAAGACTTCGATATCTTTTGAACTGCCCCCTCTAGAGCCTCAGCCAGGGTTGCTACTCCATCCCTAGACAGGTGCACCCACACACACCCACCCACACACACACACACAACACACACACACACACACAACCCCCACACCCACCCCACCACCCACCACCCACCCAACCCAACCACACACCCAAACACACACACACACACGCCCACCCACCCACACACGCCTGCCCACCCACCCAACACACACACACCACCCACACACACACACACACACACACAATTATGTTGGAATGAACTGTAGTTTGAGCTGATCCTACCTGCTATTATATGTCTTATTTGTGTCACTTATGTTACTTGTATATTATTTGTAACTCGTAACCCATTCCCCAAATATGTAACTGTATATTTTCAGCCTTCTGGCTGCCAAGCTCTTTCAATAAACCGTTAATTATTATTATTATTATTATTATTATTACACATCAGGAAGCCATACCTACGGTAAATCACACACCTTAAGAGAAACTATTGACCCCCACCCTACATAAACCCGAAACTAGGAAAAATGTCACAAGAAAAAGGCACGGAAAAAACCTAACCAAACCTAACCTAACCTAAGCAAACCTAACCTAACCCAACCTAAGCCAACCTAACCTAAACCCAACTCAAGCTAACCTAATTCCAATCCAAGCCAAGCTAAACTCGTTCAAGCTAACCCAATCTAACTCTAACCTAACCTACACTCTTGGTCGAGAGTAATCGTGGCCCCACACTCGGTTGAGAGGGTAACCGGGGCCCACACTCTTGGTCGAGGGCACTGGGGCTACTACATTCCCGGTCGAGAGGGTAACCGGGGCTCCTACACTCTTGGTCGAGAGGGTAACCGGGGCTACTACACTCTTGGTCGAGAGGGTAACCGGGGCTACTACACTCTTGGTCGAGAGGGTAACTGGGCTCCACTCTTGGTCGAGAGGGTAACTGGGGCTACTAATTTTGCCGAGAGGGTAAATCGGGGCTACTTCACTCTGTCGAGAGGGTAACCGGGGCCATTTACCTTGGTCGAGAGGGTAACCGGGCCATTAACACTCTTGGTCGAGAGGGTAACCGGGCTCCTACACTCTTGGTCGAGAGGGCAACCGGGCCAACTACACTCTTGGTCGAGAGGGTAACGGGGCTACTACACCTTGGCCGAGAGGGTAACCAGGGCCACACTCTTGCCGAGAGGGTAACCGGGCTATTACACCTTGGTCGAGAGAGTAACTGGCTACACTTCTGGTCGAGAGGGTAAACTCGGGCTACTACACCTGGCCGAGAGGGTAACCGGGCCCACCTGGTCGAGGAACCGGGGCCCACACCTTGGTCGAGAGGGTAACCGGGGCTACTTACCTCTTGGTCGAGAGGGTAACCGGGGCTACTTCACCCTGGTCGAGAGGAACCGGGCTCACCTTGGTCGAGAGGGTAACTGGGGTTCACACTCTTGGTCGAGAGGGTAACCGGGCCCTACACCTGGTCGAGAGGGTACAACACTTCACTCTTGGTCGAGAGGGTAACCGCTCCTACCTGGTCGAGAGGGTAACCGGGCTCCTACACTCTGGTCAGAGGGTAAATCGGGCTCACACTTGGTCGAGAGGGTAACCGGGGCTACTACACTTTGGCCGAGGGTAACCGGGCTACTTACCCTGGTCGAGAGGGTAACCGCTTACTACACTCTTGGTCGAGAGGGTAAACCAGCTACTACACTTTTGGTCGAGTAACCGGGGCTACTACACTCTTGGCCGAGAGGGTAACCAACACTACACTCTTGGTCGAGAGGGTAACCGGGGCTACTACACCTTGGTCGAGAGGGTAACTGGCTACTACACTCTTGGTCGAGAGGGTAACCGGGGCTACTACACTTTGCCGAGAGGGTAACCGGGGCTACTACACTCTTGCCGAGAGGGGCTACCACACCTTGGTCGAGAGGGTAACGGGGCTACTACACCTTGGTCGAGAGGGTAACCGGGCTACTACACTCTTGGCCGAGAGGGTAACCGGGGCTCTACACTCTTGCCGAGAGGGTAACCGGGGCTACTACACTCTTGGCCGAGAGGGTAACGCTACTACACTCTGTGAGAGGGTAAAATCAACTACTACACCTTGGTCGAGAGGGTAACCGGGGCTACTACACTCTTGGTCGAGAGGGTAACTGGGGCTACTACACCTGCCGAGAGGGAACAAATTTACACCTGGTCGAGAGGGTAACCGGGGCTACTTAACACTTGGTCGAGAGGGTAACCGGGCCCTACACTCTGTCGAGAGGGTAACCGGGGCTACTACACTCGGTCGAGAGGGTAAATCGGGCTACTACACCTTGTCGAGAGGGTAACCGCTACTAATTTGGTCGAGAGGGCAAGGGGCTACTACACCTTGGCCGAGAGGGTAACCGGGGCCCACCTGCGAGAGAAACGTGGCCACACCTGGCCGAGAGGGTAACCGGGCCATACACTCTTGGTCGAGAGGGTAACCGGGCACTACACTCTTGGTCGAGAGGGTAACCGGGGCCACTACACTCTTGGTCGAGAGGGTAACCGGCTACTACACCTTGGTCGAGAGGGTAACCGGGCTACTACACTCTTGTCGAGAGGGTAACCGGGGCCTACACTCTTGGTCGAGAGGTAACCGGGTTCACACTCTTGGCCGAGAGGGTAACCGGGGTTCCTACACTCTTGGTCGAGAGGGTAACCAGCTACTACACTCTTGGTCGAGAGGTAACCGGGGCTACTTACTCTTGGTCGAGAGGGTAACTGGGCTCCTACACTTGGTCGAGAGGGTAACAGGGCTACTACACTCTTGGTCGAGAGGGTAACCGGGGCTACTACACTTTGGTCGAGAGGGTAACCGGGGCCTACACTCTTGGTCGAGAGGGTAACTGCCCTACCTTGGTCGAGAGGGAACGGGGCTACTACACTCTTGGTCGAGAGGGTAACTGGGCCACTACACTCTTGGTCGAGAGGGTAACTGGGCTACTACACTTGGTCGAGAGAGTAACCGGGGCTACTACACTCTTGGTCGAGAGGGTAACCAGGCACTACACTCTTGGTCGAGAGGGTAACCGCCCTACACTCTGGTCAGGAGAGGGAACCGGGGCTACTACACTCTTGGTCGAGAGGTAACCGGGGCTTCAATTTTGGTCGAGAGGTAACCGGGGCTACTACACTCTTGGTCGAGAGGGTAACCAGCTACTACACTCTTGGTCGAGAGGGTAACAGCTCACCTTGGCGAGGAACCCACACCTTGGCGAGAGGGACCGGCTACCACTCTTTGCGAGAGGGTAACCGGGGCTACTACACTCTTGGTCGAGAGGGTACCGGGCTCACACC